ACGTGGGGGTGGAGACGCCATGACATTCTGCTCCATGGACTCTGCCTCCTCCCTCCAGGGGCGGGAAGGGCCTGGAGACAGGCGGAGCCAGACTGTCACAGCTGGAGGGCGGAGCAGGCCCGGGGGCAGCGGGCAGGGCAGGGGCTTTGGATGGGTGTCTGCAGCACAGGGCTTGCCTGAAGTAACTGGCAAGGTCAAGGTCCCCACACAGGGATTTATGGCTGGCCCAGCCCAGGGGCAGCCCCTCCCTTCAGCAAGAGAGCAAGGTACCCCAAGGCTGAGGGGGCAGCATGGTCTCTCCGAGCCTCATAGGCCCAATAGCCCAGTAGGGGGCCCTCCTGCCCAGAGCCCTTCCTTGCAGGAGGCTGGGGTCGGGGCAGGGTCGGTCGGCCTGGCGCAGTCCTGCAGGTCTTGCACAGCCGTGTCCTCCCCAGGTCTGCACAGAGGGCAGCCCTCAACCCTGAGCTCAAAGCCATAGACATATAATGTGGACTGTGGGGACACAGGGGAGTTGGTGTCCAGGCTGGGTGTGTGGGTGAGCGTCCAACCAGGGGCACCTGGAAGGGGTGTTCTCTGGGAGGGACCCTGCCTGGGGCCACTCCTGGGAGGGTAGACCCCTTCCCCACCCCAGGCACCAGACAAGAAGCCTGTCCCTCCTGGGAGCTGGTCCGGACACTGACGTCCCTTTCTCCCCAACAATGGGGACCGTTTTCCTTTCCCTCGATCAATATGTCTGAGGTGACCGTTCCCAATCTCCGGAGCAGGGCAGGAGCCAGTGACAGCTTGCAGTGAAACCCAGAGCCAGCCGGCTGGTGGGAGGTGGCCCTGGCAGCCACTCAGTCCTGGACTGCACCACCACCAAGCCCTCGCCCGCCCCTCCACCCCAGGAATCAGCGACGCCCCCTGGCCACGGCGCTGGGGCCGGGGATGAGCCCATCAGCCCTCTTCTCTCCACGTCACCAGTGTGTCCTCTGGCTGGCCTGGCTCGTCCCTGAGAGGGGTCTCCTGGTCCAGGGAAGTCTGCGGGGCGAGGGGTCACCTCCAGGCAGAAGTCCCCTCCGGAGCCTTGTGGCACCACCACCCACCACTGCCCGGTTCATAGGCAGCCCCTCCAGGCCCAGAGCTCAGTACCCTCGCCTTCAGCGGCCCCAGGCCCCAGCACGCTGCTCCCCACCTCGGGTCCTTCAGCAAGCCTTGACCGAGCGCGTGCCTGGCCCCGGAGGATGCCGTGAGCTTCTAGTCTCGCCCGTCCCTTTCAAGCCACCATGAAGGACAGCCACCAGTGTTATCCTCCGCAGAAAAACAGAAAGCCACCTGCCACGGACACACAGCCGGGAGGGAGCCTTGAATGACAGACTGACTGCCTGCTGCTGGGACCTACTGTCCCCAAAGCTGCCCTCAGGGGCTCAGCATCTTCTGGTAACACAGGATGGGAGCACATGGCCACACACATACCATGAGGCTCACGAGAGAGAAGAGCAGCTTATGAGAGAAGGCCATATACAGGAGGGGCCATGCAAGCTGGGCTTTGAGGGGTGCATAGAAGTTTGGCAGGGAGAGAGGAGGCAGAGGAAGGGCCCTCCGAGTTAGGGAGGAGCAGGGCTGTGGCCTGAGAGGAGGAAGATGTGGTGACCGATACAGCAGCAAGGCGGCGGGGACCACTGAAGGGGGTCCTGAGGGGAGAGCGGGGCACCCGGCTCAGGAGTCTGCCTCCCTCCCGAGGGCCCCAGGGAGCTCGGAGGGGAGAGTCTGAGCACGGGGGTGACAGGGTCATGTCAGGAGCAGAAGCCAACTTGTGGGGGGCAGGAGGAGCAGGAGAAGTGGGGGATCTAGGCTTTGCAGTTTTGGCAGAGCCCCTCCCTGCCCTGCTGTGGTCCCCCACAATACCCGGAGGCTATCGGGGGCCCAGATGTCCAGTCCCATCCACCAGCAGCCCCAATTTCTCCAGCTGGCATCGAGGGGCTCACATCCTGTTTTGAGGGGAGGCAGGTTCACAGTCAGCCTGTGTGAGAGGCCAGAAGGGCTGCGGGCCCCCTACAATCACACTGCCAGCCTCAGAGGGGCCCTCTCCAACTGCCCCCCTCCTAAAGACCAGGGATTTAGAGGGGGCATCTGCCACCCCAGCTCTACCCAGGAAGCAGCCCAGCCCGTTGGAGCAACGTGATCCCAAGGACAATGCCTGTCGGTTCTGCTGTTGGCTCTGTCGTCCGTTGAGGCCCTTCTGCCTCACTCTGACTCCGTGGGGCAGGGCAGAACTGGCCCACAGGCTTTTCCAGGCTGTAACCTTTATGGGAACAGATGCCCAGGGCTCTCTTCCATGGAGCTGCTGAGTGGGTTTGAACCAACCCTGGGTTAGCAGCCGAGCGCTTAACCACTGCACCACCAAGTCTCCTCTGTTCACTTTGGAGATCTGTTGACACCGAACCAACAGCCGTGGCCACTGCCCAGTGCTGCCTCCTTCCCTGCAGCTTGGATTCCCTGTGTTTGATACTGTGTGGTTGAGGCTGTGTGACCTTGGGCACCTTACTCAACCTCTCTGGGCCTCCCTTCCCACCTATATATAAATGGGACCTGCGCAGCCAAGGTGAAAATTCAAGGAACACATCACAGGACAAAGTGCCCCTACCGGGTGTACAAGCATTTGCTGTTTGTGGAATTTATTACATAGGACAAGTTGAAGCCCCCACCCCCACCCCCCAGCAAGCTGGGTCTTTTCTTCCCTTCTAGACCTTTTTCTGGATGGGAGGGTCTCAGTCCTCGCCCCCTGGGGCTGGCCCTTCTCACTTCCTCAGCTCTGCTCTGGGGACACCCGGAGTCTCACTGAAGCTTTTGCAGTGGAGAGTGGAGAGGAGAGCAGGGCAGTGAGACTCCACTCTCCTTGCGGGTGGCCGCGGGAAGCACAGGTGGTCAGACATCGCCAGCCTCGTTCCAGGCCCCTTGACTGTGCCGGGTCCCTCCCCACCTCCTCACCCAGTGACGTAGAGGGAAACCCCGACAAGTCTGGAGGCAGGGAGGGGTAAGAAGGGGCCGGCACAGACACTCAAGGGTGACAGGAAGAGTGGGGGCCACCTGAGTGCGCCCAGCGGCATCGACGGGGAGCCCCGGGGCTGAGTGTGCGGCAGGGGCCGGGAGCACAGGGCGTAGTGGCGGCTGCAGAGGACCCGGAAGGTCGCTGGGCCCCTTGCAAAGGCACACACTCCCGGCCCGCGACTCGCCCTCAACTAGCGTTCTGCTCCGGCCATGAAGGACCGTCCGATGCCGTCCCCTTGCACAGTCTGTGCGATCCCCAGGCCCGGGATACGAGCGGGGACCGCGTCCGCCGCCTTCCGCGACGTCCTGCCCCGCGCAGCCTAGGTGCCGCGCAGCCTCCGGGCGCACCCCAACCTGGTCTGCCGCGTGCAGGGGGAAGAGTGCGCCGGGAGGAGCCCGCGCCCGCGCCCCCAGCCCCGAGCCTGACAGCGCCCCAGCGCTTTCCCCACGGCAGAGGTGCCCCGGGCTCCAGAGGGCGCGGGCAAGAGACCCTCACTTCCAGCCGCCGCACCCACCTTCTTGCTTCCGGGTGTTTTCGCCCCCCCACTCGGAGAACGAGTTCAGCGCCCTCTCTTCGACCTGGGCCTCACCCTGGGGCGCCGTCAGCTGACGGCCCACTTCTACAAACGGAAAATATTCGTGGCCCCAAGGGGCGCCGCCGAGGGCCACCAGGTGAGCCCGGCTCGGCCCAGCGGGTCTGTCCGCCGGCCTTGTGCGCTGTTTCCTCCGCGCCTGAGTCGCCGGCCCTGCGCACGGCCTAGCGGTGTCTGGCAACAGGAGCTCAGGCGGGACGCAGAGCGGGGTGGCCGCCCTGTCCCGGCGCTGCCACAGCGAGGGAGCGAGGGCCGAGGTTCCCGCGCGGTCACCTCCCACTCGTCTCCGTTTCTGGCGCCCTGACGAGACCCTTCTGCAGTGCCCAGCTCCGCGGGCCAGGCAAGAGCTGGGGCCTTGGGGGCCGCCAGGGCGTCCAGACCTCACTGGGGCCTCACGCCCCGCCCGACCTGCAGGTATTCCCCGGCTGGAAATCCCGTGCCCCTGACACCCCATTTGTTAAACTTGAGGAAGTTACGGGGCTCCCGCTGACCAGGCAGGCGCGTGCGGTGGCCTGTCGCCCCAGCCGAGCTCAGGGACTCAAGCCCGCGGTCCCTTTATATAGCCCCGCCCAGCGCGGGCTCCGAGTCCAGACCCACTGAGAGCGCCCAAGACCTCATCCCCGCGCGTGTTTGAACGCGGCAGGCCGGCTCTGGCGTCGCCACACAGCCAGGAGACGGAAGGCCAGCCTCGGACAGAGGAGCAGAGAGGACCCGCGAGTCCCCGAACTAAGTTACAGAAGCGTCCGCGCCCGACTCCCCC